GCCGGCCACGTCGCGCTCAGCCGCGAACCTTTTTAGGTAGCATGGAAGATCATTTTCAGAACATGCCAATGAAACAAGGTCGTCTGCAAACAGCAACCTTCTCTTTTTCACATCTCCTGCATCGATACATTCAGCGCCTTGGCTGCTCCTGGCTATTCTATCTATGTACAAAGCAAACGGGATAGGGGACAGGACGCAGCCTTGGCGGAGATCAGTACGAGCATTGAATGGTATCGACTTAACGCCATTTACACTCACACAACACCTGCTATCAGAGTACAGTGATTGGACGGCCCTTAAAAGCTGGTCATCTATCCAATATGCACGAGAGAATGGCTACAGACTGTGGCGTGGGATCCGACATAGGTTTTTTCTAGGTAAACAAAACACATGTACACCGGACGGGTGTACTCCAAAGACTTTTTAACAATTTGGCGCAGGACAAATATATGATCAGACGTGCTTCGACCGGGCGGGAAGTCACACTGTTCTTTATATATCTTGAGGTCAGTTATTGCGCGGCACCTCCTTTCTTGCATTTTTGCGTAGACATCGCCTGAGAGGCTCAGTATAGACCTGCCTTGATTATTGGAGCACTCGCTGTGCTCTCCATGGTTGAATAATGGCATAACAACCCTGTTCTCCCGTCCGCTGACGTCTTCCCCGTAGTCATCGCAGCTTGAGAGGACGTGTACATGTGTTGTTCGCCCAATGGTTTGAGCATTTTGGGGCGGATTTCGTTGATTCCAGCAGCCTTTTCATTTTTCAAGCGTTGCGCAGCTCGTGTAGTTTCATCTACCGAGGTAGCAACAGCCGTTCCCTAATGGTCTACAGAAGATTCCTCTTGCGGTTGCTCGGGGTTAAGGAGTTCTTCAGAGTACTTTCTCCATCTCTAATGAATGTCATCATCCTTGGTAAGAAGGTGTCCTGACCTCTTCTTCAAAACTGTTATACTGCCCTTCATATCAACTCGGATACCGGGGATGGTCTACCAGAATACCTTGGTTACCGCGTAGAAATTCCTCTCTAACACCCTGCCAGGAATCAGCTGTGGCTTTCTCCACCGCTTTCGCTTCTG